TCTCGAACCCGCAAGCTCAGGCAATCCACTCACCTCAGCCTCCCAAAGCACGGGATTACAGGCTGAGCCACCGAGCCCGGCTTCTATGACTATTTGTAAAGACAGAGTCTTGCTCTGTCACCCAGGCTAAAGTACAGTGATGTGACCCTAGCTCACTGCAGCCCCAAATTCCTGAGCTCAAGCAATCCTCCTGCCTCAGCCTCCAGAGGTGCCTGGACTACTACAGACATACCACCATACCCGGCTAATTTAAAACATTTTTTAATAGATGGAGTCTCGCCATGTGTTGCTGGGGCGGGTCTTGAACTCCTAGCCTCAAGCGATCCTCCTGCCTGGGCTGGGTATAGACTTGCACCCACACCCAGCTAATTATTTTTATAGAGATGGGGTCCTGCTATGTTGCCCAGTCTGGTCTTGAACTCCTGGCCTCAAGTGGCCCTCCTGCTCTGGCCTGCCAAAGTGCTGATTACAGATGTGAGTCGTGTGCCCAGCCCCTAAGAGATTCGTTAAGAAAAAAGCGATGAAGTTAGCCCATTTGTGACAGCACTATGACCCACTCCTGGCGACTACAGCACATTGGGTCCTCACGACGGCCCGTGCTCTAGGTGTCATTGTCATCCCCGTCCCCGGGACAGGACCAGTAAGGAGTGGAGTGGGGTCTGACCCCAGACGGCCTGGCTCCGGAGTCTCCTCCTCACTCCTCAGCCACGATACTATTCACTTCTCCAGGAGGAGGGGGAAACCACTCTCAGACTCGCTATGCTATGGATTTGCTAGAGAAGACAGGGATCGCATCCCCTGGGGCCCTCCCCCAACCCCCACCTTCTGCTCTCCCTCTGTTCGCCCGCCCCCTGCAACCCTCTCTCTCCCTGCTTCCGCTCAAGGCCTTCACACCTGCTGCCCACCTATGCCTACTCCGCGTGGCTCGCTCTTCCTCTCCTCTCTCGTCATCGTCACCTTCCCTGCCAGAGGTTGTGACTGCATGCCCACTCGCACTCCCTCTAGCAACCAGCCCTCCTTTTTCTCACCTAAGCCAGGCTGTTTTCCTGTCGTCTCACCCCCCACCCCCATGCCAGCCTCTCAAGGCACAAGCCATTGTGTGATTCATTCACTGCTGTGTGTGCTGGGCACACAGTAGGCGCTCAATAAATATTCAGGAACTAGCTGAATGGAAACCTCCATCCCAGAAGGAGAGCCCGCAGAGTTTCTAAGCTCTGGATCCCTACAGTGTCTGTCCAGTCTGTTTTGGGGGGTTTGTTTTTGTTTTTGTTTTTGAGTTAAGTTTCACTCTGTTGCCCAGGCTGGAGTACAGTGGCACAATCATGGCTTGTTGCAGCCTCAACCTTCCAGGCTCAGGCTATCCCCCTAGCTCTGTCTCCCAAGTAGCGGGGACTACAGGCACGCAACCACTATGCCCAGCTAATTTTTTTTTTTTTTTTTTTTTTTTTTTTAGGGACAAGGTCTTGCTATGTTGCCCAGACTGGTCTCAAACTCCTGGGCCCAAGCAATCCTCCCACCTCAGCCTCCTAGAGTGCTGGTATTACACATTTGAGCCATGATGCCCTGCGATCTTTTTCTTTTCTTTTTTTTTTTTTTTTTGAGTTGGAGTCTCACTCTGTCGCCCAGACTGGAGTGCAGTGGCCGCTCCCAGCCACCGCAGCCTCGACCTGCTGGGCTCCGGTGATCCTTCCGCCTCAGCCTTCCGAGTAGCTGGAACTACAGGCACGCGCTACCACGCCCGGCTAATTTTTTTTTAAATTTTATTGTGGAGATGAGGTCTCGCCAAGTTGCCCAGGCAGGTCTTGAACCCGCGGGCTCAGGCAATCCACTCACCTCAGTCTCCCAAAGCGTGGGATTATCTTTTTCTTTTTTAATCTGAGTGACACTGATCTGCCGGCGGCATCAGTACTCCCCACTGCCTTACAGCGAGCACCTCTCCCTGCAAGTCGTCTCCCTGAAGGGCCCATGACCCCACCCCATGCAAATAGCCTTTGTTCTGGCCACTGAGAGGGCCAGGCTGGACTGTCTGAGATGGGACTGGCTGCAGAAATTGAGCAGGAACAGCTGTGTTTACTGCGTTTCCTCCAGTGGGACACCCAGTAGAGCCCCGGGACCTGCCCAGCCCCAGCACCACATAACAGAGGAGGCTGTGAAGACAGTCCAGGAGCCTGCCCCGCCCCCGCACCCCCCATGGCCACCAAACCAGACAGTCCCCAGGATTTGCCCTGGAGGGAGAGCTTGGGGTAGATTCAACCTAATTTCTAGAGAAAGTGAGAAAATGACAGGATGTTTCTTCCCACCAAGAGTGAGGCTGCTGAGGCCCTCCGTGACATCAAGTGCAATCGTCTCAACATCACGAGGGAGTGGTGGGACTCCAGGTGTGAACAGAAGCTTTGCACACCGTGAAAGTGCTGCCCACCATGGGGCCAGGACTGAGTGGCTGGGCCAGACTGGTGGGCAGGAACAGTCCCGAGCAGAGTCTTGGCACAGGGAAAGAGTGAGCGACAAGCCTGGAGGAGAAAGGGCAGAGGAGGAAACACTGGTGATTCCAGCCAATTTCTAAGCGGCTTCTGTGTAGCAAGGAGACAGGGGAAAGTACAGTAATTTTCTTTAGTGAAAACAGGCAACAGAATTCCCTTTGCCTCGTTCCCCTGGCAATTAAGCCCTTCTCTGCAAATGAAATGATTTGGTTTTCATGGGGACTAATTTAAGCACACTGGAAGGACCGCTGAACTTTTTGATTGCAAACACCAGCATGTGCAAAACAGAATTCAGCAGCGATGCCAGGCTAGTGAGGCGGCGGCCCTGCCCATGGAACCGGGGGCCTCAACGGGGTGAGGGTGGACGAGCCGTGGCTGGGAGGCCAACTCTGCCACTAAACCCACACCTCTCCCTGTGTGGTTAACCCTCTTCCCCCTCTAGCCTCCTCCCAAGTGAGGAAGTTGGACTAGATCCAGGGTGGCAAGCCCAGAACCTCTTGGCAATGGTGATGGAGGGAAGATTCTTTTTGAAAAATAATTTCTAATTATTTAAAAATTATGTATGTGTGTATTTTAGAGAAAGGGTCTGCTCTGTCGTCGTGACTGGAGTGCAGTTTGTTTGATCATAGCTCACTACAATCTCGAACTCCTGGACTCAGGTGATCCTCCTGCCTCAGGACTTCACGGATGTGCTACGGATGTGGCAGATGCCACGCATTCTTTGCCACTCCTTTCATCAGGAGGTGGAGTCTATTTCTTCTCCCTTGAGTCTGCGCAGGTTCCACGACTGCTTTGACCAATGGAATGTGGCAAGAAGAACGCCTGCCGGCTCCAGGCTAAGTCCTCAGCACGCCTGCCGGCTCCAGGCTAAGTCCTCAAGAGGCCCTGCTGTGGCTGCTCTCACCCGCCTGGATCCTGAGCCACCACAGAACGAGGCCTGGCTGCCCCACAGGAGCAGCGGGAGGGAGAGATGCCTGCCTGCCCCGGCTGTCACGCCAGACACAAGTGCGCCACCTTGCCTACCCCAGCTGCACCCCTTGACCAGCTGAGCAGTCCCATCAAGCCCCGCCCACGTGATAGTCATGAGTGCATAAATGGTGGCCGTCTTAAGCCACCAAGTTCATGTTATTGCTATAGCTTTTCATTTGAAATATTTGAGACTCAAGCTGATACAGAGATAGGACAGAGTGTCTCATGTGCCGTCCCCAGCATCCCCCAGGGATAATATCCCACAAAACCACAGCTGGTGTCAAAACCAGGAAATGGAACTTGACACAATCCTGCAAACTCAGGCACAAGATTACTTAGGTTTCACCGATGTCACATGCAGTGTGTGTGTGTGTGTGTGTGTGTGTGTGTTTCTATGAAATTCTAACCCATG